CACCATCAAAACTTACAAATCTCCCTTAATTTTTTACTCTTTTTTTCCTTTTATTTTTTTATTTTTACACATATCTTCTATTTGCTTCACGGGTCTCTATTCTAGCACCAATTGCTTCATGGGTTTCTTGTTGTAGCACCAACTACTTTGTGGCTCTCTTGTGGGTGAAGCACTATTGTTCAGCACTAGATTCAACTTCAAGTTTCTCTCTTTGAGAGGTTTGATTTTTAGATCATTCAATTTTTATAATTTTTTCTTTCCTTAATTTTGAATCTTTAAACTTTGTTACTATAATTTTTTTTCTTAAAATATAATTATAAATGAAATTATTTTTTTATTTTGTCTTTGTTCATCCATAAAATTGATTATTCTTTCCATTCATTTGAGTATTGGGTTTTTTTTTAATTATATATGAAATCCATTTACAGTAAAACATTCTATAAATTTGATTGAATTTTATTATATCTATATCAAAATATTTATTATATATGATGAGCTTTGCTTGAGCTTTGCTTATTCTAAAGTCTTGTTTGTCCTAATGTTGCATAAAAATCGACCTTAAGTTTTACTTGTCCTAGGTATGGTTTATTTGTCTTGTAGGTGTTTGTTTTATTTATCTGTAACTATGTATTGTAAATCTTTTGAACCCTATTTTCTTATAAAAATTGGAACTTTTGTCTTTTCTTTATCAAAATTAATTTTCATAATATAATAAAAATTGAATATTATTATAATTATTTCTTTGTAGATGGATGAAAATTCTTTACATGCAGTGGTTATGGGTGCAACTACTTTAGTGTTGGCTTTTGGTATTGTTTTCATTGAAAAATATAGATTTAGTAACTATATACCAATTGAGCTTAGTGTCAATCGAGATAAAGAAATGAAGATATACATTAATAGTATTTTATATAGAGGTGATACCTATTGTCTGAACCAAATAAGGATGAGACGGATTGTATCTTTTAGATTGTGTGACATTCTTAGTAGAAATAATTTAGTACAATCAAGTAGTTATGTGCCCGTGAGAGAACAATTGATTGTATTTGTACATCTAATCGGTCATAATGTAAGGTTGTGAATGATTGGATTAAGATATTTTAAATCAATTGAAACAATTCATAGATACTTTAGAATCATCTTAAAAGCAATTTTGAAATTATATAAATATATGATTAGGTTACCAAATGATATGACTCTGCCTGAAATAAGGAATAACTAGAGATTTTATCCATATTTTAAGGTACGAATCAATGTTAGTAGTAAAAAAATTTTTTCATATGTATTTTAGACAAAGTTTATAAATTTTATTTTCTAAAATCTATCCTACTATAATAATAGGATTGTGTAGGTTCATTAGACGACACTCATATTCGTGCATCTATACTAATTGAGATTCAAGAAAGATTTTATGATCGAGAAAAAAGAACAACATAAAATGTTTTAGCTGCAATCATTTTTTACTTGAAATTTACCTATGTGCTTGCTTGTTGGGAATGAAATGCACATAATTCTCATATATTTTAAATGATGCACTTTCGAGGCCAAGAGGATTTAGAATTCCAGAAGGTTAACTAGTGAAATCTAAAATATTAGCAATTTACATTATTTTGATAACTAGTGTATAATTGTAGGCAAACAGTATCTTATTGATGCTGGATATGGCATCTGAAATGGAATTCTCAGTCCATATCATGGTATTTGATATTACTTAAAAGAGTTTAGTGATCATCATCTTGAAAATAAGAAAGAACTTTTTAATATTCACCATTCTTCTTTGCGAACAACTATTGAACAGGTATTTGAAATTTTGAAAAAAAAAAACATTTTCATGTGTTAGATTTTGAAGCATTTTAGAATTAAGACACCTAGGTAGATATAATTTTAGCTTGTTGCATCATTCGTAATCACAATGAAAGTTAATTCTAATGATTCACTTAATCAAGAATCACGTAATGGCACAAACTTTGAAAGTATGATAGTTTTTCAAAAAGCTCATAAAGAGAGAGAAAAAACTAGAGAATGGATGACAAAAAAGATGAAATTACGCAAGCGATGTGGATTGATTATGTGGCTAGGAGAATGTAACCTATTCTGATTTATGTTTTTGAACATTGATATGTTACTAAGTTTTTTATTATGTATGTTTTCTACTTGTTTTAAGTTGTTATGAACATTAGTGGGCTATTATGAACTTTATTAGATTGATTATAGACTAATATGTATGTTTTTTACTTGATTATATATGATTGTTTATTATATTTTTCTTTTTGAGTGTAAATATCATCATCATCATAGAAATGAAGACATTAAAAGCAATTTAGGTGGACAAAGCCCATGTAACGTGTTTTACTTGAGACTTTGTTGATTAGGCTTTAAAAAGAAATAGACCATCTAACATTTTGAAGCCATGCTTATATGTTCGAGTAGCTCAAGCTATAAATGAAAATTTCAAGTTGAATGTGAGGCAAACCATGTGGAGAATCATTTTTAGATTGTGAAAAAATGGAATATTATCCAAACACTTATTGGCAAGAGTGGATTTGGATGAGACGACAACTTAAAGATGATGATTGTATCAAGAAAGTTTTATAATGATGAAATGATGATATCTTGATTTTTTTAAAGGACTTATATTAATATTTTGTTATTATGGTGGACTAATTTTTTTTTTCATGTTAATAACCATAATAGGCATATCCTAAACATGAACCATTCATCTACAAAAAACTTAACATGTATGATAAAATGGCTTTGGTTGTTAGGAAAGATATGGCTACTAGGAGTTTCACCAAATCTTTTACCAATATAAATTTGTAAAACGCAAAGGTTGATTTGGTGCCTGTAGGATTGGAAAATGAAGTTGATCAAGAAACCATCAAAGGGAAATAAACATCTTCCTCAATTGGTATTTCACAACCTTGATCTCATAACAAAAGGAAACACTCTCAAATTGTCGAAAATGAGAAATTTAGAGATATTGCCAATGCCATTAAAAAAGTAAATGATGATCAAATTGTTATTGCTAATCTTTATGAGCAAGTGATGAAGGTGGAAGGGTTTGATGAGGTAGCTCTTTCCTTTGCCTTACACTATATTTGGATTGAGGGGAGAGGAAAGAAAGGAAAGTAAAAGTAACAAAACCCCTTTCTTTTATTTGGATAAATATTTAATTTAAAAAAAGGAAAAAAGGTGAAAACCAAATAACCAGTCATTTCTTATGTAAACCCAATTTTTTTAATACCCCAATTTAGAGGAAAAGCTAAGGAAAGAAAAGTTGAAATTTTTTTTTTTATAAAAAGACTACTATGTCCATCTTTTTATTAATACTAAAAACCTAATAAAAAAAACTTAAGCAGATCACAATTATCTTACAATTTTTTCAAAGCCATCTTTTTTTTCAAGTAAGTTTCATATATATCTTCCAATATAAAATTTTTTATAATTTTTAGTGATTTGATTTTGATGAATGGTTGAATATAAATAGATATATTTTTTGGGTTAATGAGATGTCAAACTAATTCAAAATTCATTAATGCATATTTGTAAAACATCTTTCTATTTCACTTGATTAAAAACTATTGATATAGCATAATTGTGAGGCTAGAAAAGATAGTAAACATATCATGATCCAGAAGTGCTCTAAAATCACAAGCAATGAAAGGTTATAATTGAAAAAAATTATTATAATGAATCATTTCATTTTTTTTTTCACTCTCTATCCAAACAATGGTTGTTAAAATTCATTTCCTTTCCTTTATTAATTTTAATTATCCAAATAAATGTTACATGTATCTTTTCCTTTTCTTTAAAAAACTTTCTTTTCCTTTCCTTTATTAATATTTATCCAAACATAGCATTAATTATTTAGTTGAGCATGAGAAGCAACCAAAGGCATTCATGGTGAAAAATGATATTCTTAGAAAAGTTTGGCTTTAAAATTTCTTCAACCATAGGGTTGACAATTAAAACTTGTTTATATAATGGTACAAACTTATTTACGTAATTGATTTTGTTAGACAAGTAAAATATCTTTTGTCTTATAAATGTTAATAGACATGGCTCTAACTTGAGAACGAATGATGTTTTTGTTTAGGAAGCTGTAGGATATTTTGTTTAAGGAAAATGGACATGGTTGTAGGATTTTTTTTGTTTAGTAACAATGGGCATGGCTCTAACTTAATTATGAGTATAGAAAATTTTTGTTTAGGAACAATATTATTATATTAATGATTTATATATGATATTTCTTTTGTAGATTTGATTTTTACTCTTTTATAATTTTATATATAGGATATAAGATCTTATATTATATAATATTAAATATAAATATTTTTTAATGTTGAAATATGAAACTTTTACTATTAATAATTATTAATAATTATAGTTATAAAATTTTAATGTGTTATGATGAAAATTTTAAAGATTAACATGGTAAAAAGTATTTTTCGTAAAATGATCCAAACAACAGAAAATATTTTCTTTCGTGTCATCCAAATAACAAAAAATATTTGATTTTCTTAAAAATATCTTCCATATAAAATTAATTTCTAGTTATAAAATGGAGCCTAAAACTTAAAATTTTTAAGATATCCTTTCTTATTCTTTTGTATATTTTTTATAAAATTTTAAAAAATGATTCTATTGTCTACTACTAATAGTAGTAACCATATAATAAAGAGATAATATCTAAATAAATTATTAAATTTTATTCAAAAATAAAAAATCTCTCAATTTTTTATTGTATGAAATAAGACTCAAATTTTTATTTCATTATATTATTCCTTTTAAATACTAGTAATGAATAAATAAAGTCAAATTGTTAAAAATATTAAAATAACCAAATTTCAAATATTTATTATTTAATTCATTCAAATAATTTTAAATAAATGTTTTTTATAAATTAAATTATTTAATTAAAAATTTTAAACAAAAAATTAAATATTTTATAACGCCAAAGTTTTAATTCAAAAAATTCAAATAATTATTCAAATAAAAAAGCAAAAGGTTCAGCATGTAGGCGGGAATGTAATTCCATCGAGCGAAGGAAAACCAAACAATGCGCAACGGCAATCCTTTTCATAGTTGCAGAGCCCAAGTGCAGGAGTTCAGATTAGTCAGCAATGGAGCAGCACGTTATGAACTCAATCGAACAATCCCTCAACAATAATCAACCCCTCTCTTCCCAAACCCTAGCTTCCCTCAGATCTCTCATTATCAACCCCACCACCTCCGATTCCAGCCTTTCCTCACTCCTGGACGCCCTAACTCGCTCTCTTCGACTCACTCGCGACTCCGTCTTCCTCCATCACTGTCTTAAGCTCCTTACGGACCTCTCCGCTCGCCGCCCCCACCTATCCCCTTTTGCCGTCGACTTGCTCCGTTCTGACTCGCTCTTCTCCTCCGCTTCGCCTCGCCTTGTTGGCGAGTCACTGTCCGCACTCCTTTCACTCACTTCCTCCCAAAACGACATTGACGCTGCCCGCTTCGTCTCGCTCTGCCTCGGTCCTTCTGTTCCCGTACGACTATGGCTACTGAAAAATGCGGAGAAGTTTGCCATTAGGGAATCGGTGTTATTAGCCGTGTTTCTAGGGTTTACAAGGGATCCGTTTCCGTATGTGAGGAAAGCAGCTGTAGATGGATTGGTGAAATTGTGTAAGAATGGTGATTTTAATGATCGTGATGTTATTGAGGGATGCTACTGCCGTGCTGTTGAGCTGCTCCGCGACGCTGAGGATAACGTCAGATCCGCAGCAGTTCGCGCTGTAACATACTCTGTTCTCGAAGATTCTTCGTTAGATTAGTTTACTATGTATTGATAACTAATTTTTATTTTTACAAATTCTGATTTATCTCTTCTCTCATTGTTTTGAATTTAGGTCTATGACTGGGGTAAACTGCTTGTTATATCCAGTGAAGAAAGGAACAAGCAGGACTCGTCGGATGCAGTATTTATCCAGGTATTTTGGGGAAAAAAGAAAGATCATGCCCTTATGTTTAGTGTCCCTGTTTCTTATTGCCTATTTTATGTTAAAGAAACTTTAAATTTTGGAGTTGATGCTTGAAAATTGATAGTAATGTGCAGAACATGATTATGATGTTGGCTGGTCTATTTTTAAGCATTTTACTTGAGTTCATGTCTACCCTAAATATATGGCATTTTAAGCAAAAATTTTCCTCTTGTTTTTTTTGGTTAACATTTACTTGCAGCTCTGCTGTATGGTAAGAGATATGAGTATGGAGGTAAGGCTTGAAGCCTTTGAAGCTCTTGGGAAGATAGGACTTGTATCTGAAGATATCTTACTACAAACCCTGTTTAAGAAAGTCCTAGGGATCAACAAAGATAAAATCTACAAACCAATTAAAGTGTTTGAAATTTCAGCTTCTGCTGCTGCTGGAGCTTTTGTTCATGGACTTGAGGATGAGTTCTCTGAGGTAAATTTTTGCTGGTTTTCTAGTTATCCTTTTTCTTATTACTTGTACAATTGTTTTGTCTCAGAGAGACTGGTACCATTCAACTTTTGGCCTTATTGGATCAGCTTAATCCTGTATCCCTGTCCATATCTAAGCAGTTTGCCAGCACTTTGAGGTTTGGGTTGGCATGGTTCTTCAAGTTTTTTGTACCATGGTTATATTGAATGAGAATGTGTTTATTCGTTATTATGGTTTATGATTAAACAAGCTAGGACTATCAGTTTGATATGTTAGACACATAATATACAGAACTTAAGTGTTATGACAGTCATTGATAGAACAAGCTTTGACTTTATCTGAAGTTAGGTCATATATCTGTGGTTCAAAAGCCATTCCCCCCTTGGCATGGCTTTTAATTATGATGCTGTCTGTGCTTAATCTGAAGGTACGAATGTCTGCCTGTTACTCTTTGCATACGTTCACTGTCTTCTCCTCACAATTTGCTGGTGAAGCCTTAAACCTGTTGATGGACATGCTGAATGATGATTCAAAGATTGTCAGGCTACAAGCTCTGAATACAATGCATCACATGGCAACCTGCAATCATCTAAAAGTTGAAGAAATACACATGCACAGTGTAAGTGTTTCTTTTCTTTTTTCTTAAAGAGATGCACACATATAGAATATCTAAATGCTTGACATGCCTAGTTTAAATGACGGGTGATGAGCATTAAACATAGGACAAGGTGCAGATAGATGTTGGAATAGTTTTGTTTGATGTCTCTGTAAATTAATCAAGCCTCACCTCTCAATAAAGGTCCCAGTCAAGGTAGTTAATATAATGAGCAAGCTACTTTTAGAGCTATTACTAAGAGCTTTTTTTCACAGATGCTTTGCTCTCAGTCTCTCTCTTTCTCTTGGTGAGGCCATGACTTTTGTAAAATTGCTGTTCTTTTCTAGAGAAGCCATAACTATAGAAATCTTTTTTTATACAGATATCTCCTGCTCAAAAGACAGGGGCAGACGGTATTTATAGGCTGAGAACATTTTTAAATCTTCCCTAGTATTTATTATTATTGTTATTATTATTAAAAAAATTAAAAGACCCTCTCAAACAAAAATTATTAATTTTTTTTTATGCGACTTCATAACTTAATTTATTCGTTGCAATTTAAGATGTATTGAAATTACATTATTTATTTATTTATTTATACCAACTAAACATTGCTTACAAATCTTTAAAACCAATAAGTTTGAGAAGAAAGTAAAATCACAAATATGTAAATTTAACAAAAGCCAAATTGACTTTCTAGCTTCTTCCATAAGAATTCAAATCTCCAGTCAAGTATCAAATATGTTTTTCTTTTCTTTTTAATTGACTACAATTCATCCCTTTCATATAATTCTTCACTTTTAATTCTATTTTAAATCTTTTTCTTTCTATCATACAATTTTTTTTTAACACAAAGGCAGATTAGAACCACTTTATAAATGGTTGGAAAAACACCTTAATTTCTAATTTCAAAGTTTCAATTTTATTATTTTAATGATATATTTTATTTTTCTTATTTTGATGAAAATATATATTGTTTAATGGTTGATTTATTCATACTTTTTGTAAAGGAAAATTCACTCATAATTTTAAATAAGGTTATTTATTTGATATCTTATGTTTTTGATATATTGGTTTACGAATCAATAAAATTTATAAATTTGAAAGCTTATATATTTTGTTAGTATATTGCTTGTGTCTGTGTGTGTGTGTATTAATAATATAATAAGATGCATTCTATGAACAATTAAGATCTTGTATAATATTAGTTGGCCCCTCAATATCAATTGTCGAGATCCACTATTGTTAAAAGATAGACATCATTACTTAACCATCATTGTTACCTGATTTGGCAGTTTCTGAGCACTCTTTTTGACAGCTGTTCTGTCATAAGATCTGCGACAAGGAAAATTCTCAAATTAGCAAAGCTGATGAAGTTGGAGTTGTTTAAATTGTGTATCGATGGCCTTCTTGGAAATTTGGAGACATATCCACAGGTTGTTTCTCTTTCTTTTAGTTTGCACCTTCAAGTGGCTTTTTGGGCTGCGTCTTTTATATTTTCAATTTGTGTGTTACTTGATTTCCAGCAGCTATATCTATCTGTTATTGCTTTTTGTTTCCACTTATTTGATTAAGCTGCTTCTAGGATGAAGTTGATGTCTTCTCTGTTCTGTTTCATATTGGGAGAAATCATGGGAAGTTCACAGTTCTCATGATTGAGGAGGTTTCTACAGAGGTTAGCTTGGTTTTAAAATGCCATTTATTTATTGCTTTTAGTTTGATGACATTACCTGCTCAACTATGAAAAGAACAGTATCATTAAAATAGCACGAGCAAGTTCTTTATTAAAATTTATGTCGTGAGAATGAACATATCTTCTGAATGATGCATCAGTTTTTTTTGTACATGTAGAAGTTTATGTTACTGTGGATGTTTCTAGTACATTTGGGCAGAATTGACTAATTTTTAAATAATTTCAGATGCCTAACTACAAAAACTTTTACAGGATAATAAATTAAGAAATACGAGAATATTCATGCTGATTGGAACAGTGAAGTTAATGAAGCATTGAAGCAATGTGGACATCACAATATAATATTGCTTTCTTATGTTGGGACTATTTGTAAATGACATTGATTATTCAATCTCTTTACCTTGGTTTTCTCCAGTTTTTACTCCAGTTGGAGCCAGCTTTTGGAGGCAAATTGGGCTTTGATAGTACAAGAGTAGCAGCATTTCTTGTGCTGGCCATCTCAGCTCCACTGTCAAATGAAAGTGATGTTTGTGGTGTTCCATCTAGAATATTCTCTTATGCAGTTACTTGGCTGGGGAGAATCTCTTATGCTTTAAGTGATGTTATGAACCGAGAAACACTTTTGGCTTATTTGTCAAAGTGCAGCAGATCCTCAACCATTTCTCTTGCTGACTTTAAAATAAAAGAGGCATTGCCAACAGTAAAAGGTGATATGCCATCTCATCTCTGTTCTGAGGTTGGTAGTCCTGTAAGCATGCCCTTGTGGCAAAAAGGTGTGGAGACCTTTGACCATCATCATCAGAAATTGTTTTTAGGAAAGTCGGGTACTCATTTAGAATATGGGCTGAGGGAGTGTGATGAGTTAAGACAGTCTGTAAACCTTGTCTTTAGAAAGGTCAAGGACTTGTGGTCATTGGTACAATTAGGCTGCACAAATGAAGCATTGAAGGCTATAAGGTAAGTAATGTAGTTAATTATTTTTGTTTCTTTGATGCATTTTGTTGCTATATATAGGACTGAAGTTTGTTTTTATTGACAGGCAGCCTTTCCTGATTTTTCATAATCTTGTTTTATGCAATGCAGTTGTTCTTTTTTGTTATATAAATTATTGTTCAGTGATCTGTACAAGATACTAAACATTGAAGACGTGGATGACCACATTAATAATACGATTTATGAGAACCATATTTTTAGCTGTGTCATCTTGGGCTATCCATGAACCATAAATTTGTTTTGTTATCTTTGGGTCTAGCAGGGCATGCAAGGAAGAAGTGGCATCATTTACCACAGATTCCCCTGGATCTGCTGGTGCTGTGGCATTTACTCTGCAATATCTCCGAGTTATAAAATTGCTTGCTGCAGTATGGGAGCACCTTATGCCAACAAAAAAGCTTAATTGTTATGGAGTGGGAAAATTAGAGCTTCTATTAGGAAAATTAGACAGGAGGCTCAGGGAAATCAGGAATAAATTCATCGGTTTGTCCAAAGCAGAGGAGTTGCAAATCTTGGAACTGATCGTTGTGGCTTGTCTTTTGAGGTTGTCGAAAATTGAGATATGCTGTTATGATACTGCCATGAAAAAGTTGTCTTCTATAATTTCTCATGTAGAAATTCTCCGCAAGGGGGGGCCTATTGAACCATCTCATTTTATAATTGAAGTAAAGAAATTATTGAATGATATTGGCTCTTCAAGTGGTGGTAGTACCTGTAAGCCACTTCTCTTCAAGAAGTTAATTGACTCCTTCTCCCTTCATCAATTTGTGTTAGGTGGAAGTCCCAGGCACATAAATGCAGAATTGGAAGTTCCTGGTAATGATTCTGAAAATCCTCTTCCTTTCATCCCTGGAATACCTGCTTCTATACCACTTGCAATCACTTTGTATAACGTTTTGAGTGAACATAGGTTGTGGCTTAGGATAAGTATGGGTGAGGAGTCAACTCAGTTTGTATTTTTAGATTTGAACCTAATCAGAAGCAGTGATGAGGTCAGGGAATTCACATTTGTGGCTCCCTTCTATCTAACCCCAAAAGCAATTTCCTTTGCGCTGAGGGTTTCTATAGGTATAGAATGCTTGCAAGAGAATGTTCATCAAGTTAAAGCCTTTGGGGGTCCAAAACGTGAGCTAGCATACCTTTGCCCCGAGGAAGAGATTTTTCTTTGTAAGAGCACTAAATGGTAAGTAAAGCCACCTTTCTTTTTTGTTATTGTTGCTTTTGGCATGACATTTGTTGAGGTACAACATATGCTTATCAGAATCAGACTAAAATATTGCTAGCTTGGAGTCTGCTGGGTCAAACGAGGGAACTTTCCGCTGCCTTGTCCTCGAGTACGGGTAGAGAAAGGAATATAATTTAACAAAAATTATTCAACTTTGAGACTGGTGCTTTTAGTGGAAAATTATCAAGGAACTTATTAAACAACAAACAAAATAACTATTCACGTTTTAACAAAATGCATTTGTTGGCTTCATCCCATGGACTCAAAACTTAGCTAAGATGAATGTTTCATCAATGGTTAGTGAAACTATTATGTACTCTTCCACCTCTCAAACCATTCTAATGTTCATGATTTAAAAACAATCGCCGATAAGAAGCACCTTTTGCCAACAGCCTTGGTGGTTTTCACTTGCCAACCCTCCCCCTCCCTGAAACACTCCACCTATAAATGTTTTCATCAAATTAGAAATCAACCAGTAACTGATGCACCTATAGAATGAATAGGAAAGCAAAAAAAGGAACATACCGAGTCTAGAATGTCTTCACCAGCTCTCAGACCTCCGATAACATATATAGATCCTTTTACAACGGCAGCAGCTGCATATCCCCTTGGCTGGTTGATTGGGTCCCCACTCATCCATGATCCAAGTCGTGGATCAAATATTTCAACACTTGGAACCATTTTAGTACCATCAAAACCGCCAATGGCATATCTAACAAAGAAAGCATTTCTGTTAAGAAGATAATTTTTCACTTCTATAGCTTTTTCGAATAATTAGGGTCAATAACCATTGGCACAGATTGATAAAGAAATATCATGTACGCTATGTGATGCAGGAAGCTGACTAGATAATAGCAAGAATTCTCATGAAAGAAAGGGAAAAAGCTACTTTCAAAGCAGAGCATAGCACTGGACAAGCTAAGGTACCATACGTGCAATCTTCCAGATTTGTATTAGGCACAATAGAGCATAAAGCATTTTGTGTTGCACATGCACAAACTGGGCCATCAACTAAAGCAGCTCTCAAACTGCTAACTGACGCTAATAATAGAATGACAATAAATAACCCTCCAAAAAAAAACAGCTTACAGTTTTTCATCCAAAACAACCAGTGAATGGCACGCCCTCTTTGTGCTCATGCTTGCAATTTTGGTCCATGAATACTCTCTGGGGTCAAATCTTTCTGCAGACCTGGCGTGGAAGGAAATTGCAGTCAGCTGTCAATTTTTGTGGCTTGGGCGAATGGACCAACAAATTAATTCATTAGTATACTGCTGGGTTTATAAATGGAACCATGTGTGCATGCATACATACAAAAGTGTATGGAGAAAACCTAAAAGGAAAATGGCATGACAACGTACTGCAGGTAATTATTCCCATCATATCCACCAGTAGCATAAATTGTACCATTAAGTTCCACAGCAGCAAGAGCAAATCGCTGCAAAACCAAGTTCAGGTAAAATTTAACATTGATAACTTATGTGTGTGTGTGATGCACATTATAGGATAGTTGCATAATTCAAGGATGCTGAAAGCATGCACACAAGCCAAAACCCAACAAATGATGACTCCTCACTTCCTTCAGGGTCCATTTGGATGAGCAGAGAGATTAGCTCCGATGAGATTGAAAATAGTGGTAGAGGTGAGATTAATTACTATAGCGGTGAGATTAAAATTAATGATGAGATATGTGTTTGGATGCAAAAGAAATAGTGACTGTAAGATGAATTATAATAAAAAGAGAAAATGACCATTAAAGACATTAATTTAAAAATGATTAATAAATTATTTTTTATCTATATTTTAATAATATTTAACATTTAATATATTAAAAATTTATTCAATCAAATATTGATATATATTAAATTATATTAAAAAATAATTAAAATTTTAAGTATTAAAAACTATTTTTATCTATTTATTTTAAATAAATAAGGCCTTAAATGTCAAGGATATTTTTGTCCTTGCACTATACTTTTAAGGATAAAAAAGAAACAAAAAAATTTAAATAGGGACATTTTTTGAAATAAATGCTGCGGTGAGTTTGAAAATTTTCACTGCACCCTAAAGGGTCCAATCACAAACTGAAGATGCAGTGCAGTTGATAAACACCAACCGCACTGACCCATGTTATCCAAATGCAAAAAATGGTGTGATTAAACTCATAAAGTGCTTCAATCGCCCCTCACCAAGGCTTCAGTAGAATCCAAATGAAGCCTTAGTTACTCAAGTTATAAACCTGCTGCTAACCATATTATTCCTTTTAATAAGAGCTACTAATAAGAAATTAAGGTCATCCTTGTCCTGAAATATTTAAGTTTTAGTAGTTATTTTGAAATGCTTTTAGTTATTGTTGCCTACTTCAAGGATATCCTTCAAATAAATACATGTTACCTCTCTCAATCCAGGAAAATGTGAAAATCAGATTCTTTTACATCAACCAAAAGGAAAAGACAAAAAGACAAAAAGTCAAGCACTACTTTCACCTTTTGTAGCATTGAGCGTGTGTTGATCCATTGTCCAACAATTAAATCAAGCATTTCAACATCTGAAAAGCATTCAACCCCATTCCCACCACCAATGGCAAATATTTTGCCATGCAACGCAGTTCCAGCTAAGCTTCCCTTTTCCTCCTTTAGGGAAGGGCAGAGGGTCCACTGGTCAGTTGATGGGCTGTATGATTCAACTTGACAAAAACATAACAGAAACATGAGATATAAGAAAATTTCCTTACAAGAAAAAATAGGACTTTAGGACAAGCGAATACCTGTATCATACCATGAACAACCATCACCACCACCAAAGACATAAAGCTCACCATTCAACTGTGCAGCTGAAGTGTACGAACGGACAGAGCTCATTGGCTGAAAAGATTTTATCACATCTTGATATGGGAAATAAGAATTCAGTGCTGATAACCACGATTCACCATCATATCCTCCCACCAAAAATATTGACTCAGTGGGATCCAATTGCAGCTCCTCAAAGGGCTGAATTTCCTTTTCATTAACATGTTCCACAGAATGATTAGACAAGGATTCCAACATCAGACAATGATCTTGTAGTCGTTTAATTTCCATTTCTGCTGCAACCTGAAAAACTAGGGTTATAGGTATTATCCATGGCACTGATTGGAATTAATAAACAAGCTCTGCATACGCAATTTCCTGTTACTATTATAGATACAGAGCAAGCATAATTTAGTAGGATGAGAAACAAAACATAAGGTCGGCAACATTACCATAAAGATTATAATTTTAGATTAATTTTACCATAAAATTAACTGAAAAAAATGGATAATCGGAGTTTCAATCAGTGGCAGTGAGGTAAACAATTGTTAGTCACTTCAAATCTCTCAATAATGTCATGCATAAGTATTATTAAAGGGAGGTAGTGACACTAAGTAGGTAATCAGCTAAAATAAGGACCTAAACATAATTGAGTTTCTCTATACCGTGCTTTCTTCCCTGTCCTCACTCCAGAAAGGTCCCGTTGACCTGATATACTAATCAACGGAAGGTATTTCCTTTCCTCCAACAAACTTGGTAAAAGCACCTTTCATTTCAACATATAGAGTTTATTTATATGGCAAGCATTCAATTTAACACAAATACCTTATCTAAAACCACAAGTATTCTCTAATGTACTTCAACCTAATACAGTCAAGAAAAGTTTTGGTCCATCTCAATATAGATTAAAAGTGAAACTGTTCCAATATTCTTAAACCCATCGTTCTGGACTGGGGTATTACAGAAGATTATATCAATCAACACAAATAATAGCACCAAAAATAAGAGTCAGGGCAGTAAGAAGAATTGTTAATAACAATGAATTTGTTATTTCAATTTTTTATTATTAGTATATTATTAATCTTGCCACAAAAGGAAAGAGAGAAAAAGGGGTGTGGTGAAATTTGTACCAGTTTTTGCTCCATTTGAACCATCTTTTTGCATTGTTCTGCTTTAAATGTCCTGACCTCTTCCATCCCTTGAATCAACTAAAAAATAAAAAGAAAGAAAAATGAGCAGAACTTTTTCTTTTTAATCTTTTAAAGAAAAGAAAAGGGCCTAATCTAACAGATTTCATCCTTCTTCTCCATAACTCTTTGAACAATAGAGCTTCTCAATCACCTGAGCTACAAGGGATTGACAATGTGGTGAAGAACAGGCACCATACTCATTCTTCTGCCCCAAATCCACTTGCTCCCATAAAGAAACCCTATCTTCAAAGTATGTCTCTTTCATAAGAGTGGAATCCTCCACATTATCCATCAAAGAAACATCTTGATCTTTACGTTTTTGAGCCAGTTCTTTCAGTTTAATTAATATAAGATCTTTCTCATCTTGTCCTCTTATCTTTGCATCTATATTAGTTTCCAATGAATCAAAAGGAGCAAAATCTGTAGAATCTGATTTTCCACTTGACTGACTAAATTGCTCAACCTCTGAAGCTGAGAGCTTAAACCCTTCATCTGCCACTTTTATTACATCGAAGAAAACAACATTTCCACTTGAGTGATTAGAATGCTCCACCTCAGGAGCACCTTCCTCCTTTTTTCCAGTTGAAGGAAGAGTTTGGAAAATATTTCTCCACTTTGCCGTATTTTGAGTTAGATAAGTGCTTGGAGAAACTGCTAAAGATGCTAATAAGGACATCAATTTACTTGTTTGAACATGGTCTAGCTCAAACCAGAAATGATTATGACCGTAGTAATTGTCTGCAATAATAGGTCTAAACTGTTCTTCAAGCAGAGGTTGGCACTGTAGTCGAACACGAATCAGAACCTTAATTCAAGAAAGAAAAATATCAGCAATAGATAAAATCAAAAAAAATAAAACATCAGATCAAATATGAAGGAACTTTATACGAGTACTTGTGCAGGATATTGTGTTTTCTCTGAACCATCAGCAGTCCATCCATATGGGTTAATGTTCATCTGACCATGGCTAGCAGCCTCAAAGATCCCATGTAGTTTCCGCTCACTGTAGTTGAACAGAAACAATGGCAATCCTGGCTGAATGTTCTTCACATAAGAAAAGTGTTGAGCAGGTAAGCCTGATAAAAACCAAACCAACAATTACCATGGCAATCAGAAAGCTTATTTGGGGAAAAAGTCCAGAAAAAAAAATTCTATGAGTGAACGTTCTTAACAAAAAAGATACTCGATTTAATGGGATAGAGGACAAAAAAAAAAGGTAAGTGAAAAACTAGTGCTGGAAAAATGCAACTGAAATGAACATGCCATACCGAAAAGCTGCTTGAATAGACATTCTTTATAGGTGCTGGTCTTGCAACCAAATATGACACCACCAAGCTGGCTCTTGCCCAGATTTCTAACAGACATAATGCTGTTGGTCAGATTTGGAATACAAGGTGCATTTCCATTAACTAGGAAAGTCTGCGCTTTCGTTCCCACAACCATTCTGTGATCCAAATATGAATTAGAAAAGTGAAAGCATTTACGATCAGGGATTATTAATAGTTCAAGTCAAATAAGTATATGAAAAGTACGAACTTGATTATACCCTACATCCACTAGTGCTCAACACCAAACAGTAAGCAAAGTTCACAATATAACCATATTTTATACACGCTGTGATCAGTAAATTTCTATTGATTAAAATGATGACAAGTAGCACAAAAATCTCAAGCAAACGGCCATTATTAATTCAAGAAACAATTTTTAATCACCAAATTTCTTAGAATTTCCGAAAACAAAAATGTAAATACATCATGGGGTAAAAAAGCAGAAACTATTTAAAATGAGACACATTGAATATATTATTGGCAATATCTGCATTAAGTAGATTAAAGGCATTATCTGAGCGATCAACAAACCCTAAAGGCATCATTCCAAAAATATTATATACAACATAAAAAGTGGTGGAATCCAGAGAGCCAAAACACACTCAAGAATCGAGTGTAAGAAACGTAATCATAATAATTTGTTTAAAACAACCTTAGTCCTCTAAATGCAGAAGCAAAGAAAAAAAAAAGAGAGTAAAATTCGAATGAGTTGGGACTCTAAAGGGCAAAATGAAGAGGGAGTTAGTGGTTTATTAATCCAAATGAGTTGTCACATTCTCGAGAAACGCTTGGAACAAGTTTGAAAAAAGTAAAAAAAGGAAGCTTCGAAGGAAAAGGAGAGAGAATGGTACAGTGGAAAGTAAGACGGTTTGGTTTGCAGTAAAACAGCACAAAGAGATAGGCTTAGCCGAGAAGGCTCTCTCTCATACAAAGCGCGAAACAAGAAATGCCTGCCCGGCCCTCTTCTCCTAGGATTAGCACAGAATGGGATATCGTTATTTTTAAGGTACACGAATGTAATCCACTTAATTTTTATGATATTCCAATTTATATGGTTAAATTTAGTATTATTATCCAAATTTATATACGATTAAATAAGCACTTAATATTTAAATATCTTAAAATATCTCCTTATTTTTCTTATCAAAATATAAAATTAATTAAATTTAAATTCACTTTTAATAACAATAAAAATTATTTGTTAAAGCCCGAACATTTTTACAAGTATAAAATCATATATATCATAAAATATATATTATATTATAACTACATAAATATTTGATAAAATTTTTCATATGAGTATTTATGTGAATAATTTTTTTGAATAAAATGTAACATAATTTTTCAAAATATCAAGATAACTTCTTTTAAATTTATTTAAATATCAAAATTAATTTGAAATATGGGTCTTATCTTTATAATAAACAATTTTAGTTATTTTATCAAATAACTTTATTAAAATATTATTTAATTATCAAAATTTTTCAATATGTTTAAAAATTACAAAGATTAAGTTTATCCAAATCTTTCAACAACTTTTTTATTTTGATTTGAATCAATAAAATTTTTTTTAAAAAAAAATTTACATAAAATATTGAACATTCAAACAGCTTTTCATTTTAAATCTTTAAATAATAAAACCATTAAAAAGATCATATCTATCTCAATTCTAATTATCAAATTTATATTTTAAATACATGCAAGAAGTTTGTTTCATTTTTATCACCTATTATATTCGTTTTAAATTTAAAAAGATTAATTTAAAAATTATCTATTCAATCCTAATTGTTACTCAAGAGTTCTTTTACAAATTTATCATTATAAGTTTAATAAGTTATATCATTTTGATATTTTTTCGGCTTACAACTTTTTTCAAAATATATATTATTACTCTTACAATTTCTTTTTTTTTGGTTTACAACATTTTTTCAAGATATATATTATTAGCATTGTAATTTCGTTCTTACGAAAAATAATAAATTTTTTAATTTATTTTTTTTTCATATATCTCCTAACATTTTTTATATTTTTTATAGCAATTTGATTAAAATTACAAAAGTGAAAATATGCTAATACTTTTTTATTATTTAATTCGTCATTTAATAATATATGTCTTTGTTTTTAAAAAATATAATTTATTTTTATTTGATATAATCTTATAGGTATATAAATATTATCATAAATAAAAATGATTTAAAATAAGATGTATCATTTTTTCTTACTTGTTCAAAAAGTTTATTTTTTTATGTAACAAGTCAATATATATGAATTTTATTTATGTTATAAAATTTGAAGATTTGAATATAATTTAAAAAAATTTTGTATGTATTTACTCATATTAAATAAATAAAATTATTTCGTGCATCACACGAATCGTAATCTAATTTGATATATGTTATATATGTAAAATAGATAATGGATTCATATATCCATACTATTTATTAAAAAACTTAAATGACTTAGGATAACGGATAATTAGGGAGTACTATCAAAACCTCTTTAAATTCAACATGGATAGTAAAATCTACTATATGAATCCATTAATATTTGTTTATGAGTATTCAAATCCAACATAATTGGATTAGGTAGGATAGATATCCATTTATTTATTATCTATTTTCGTTTTTATTTTTACTTCAAAGTTAAGGTTAATAGTATATGTAGTTTCTAAATTTTAGCCAAATTTTATTTTGATCTTTAATCTTTAAAAAGTTTCAACTAAATCCCTAATTCTTCATAATTGTCCTATTTTAATAATTTTGTCTATGAAACCTCTAAATTGAAGATAGGTGATAGCTGGCGCTATGTGGATGGCTTATATTGGCATTTCGTATGGTAGACGGAAGCAACAAAATAAAGTTTCACTTAAAGTTTTAAGGATTAAGAGGATACTATCTTAAATTTTTATTTTATTTCATATATATTTTATAAAATATTAAATTTAAAATAATATTTTTATATTTTTATTGCAATATAATTTATTATTTAAAAAAATTAATTTTTTATTTAACTATTTTTTTCTTTTTTCTTCTTTATAAAATATATTTAAAAAAGGAAAAAATATTATTGTTAATAGAAAATAGATTTTTTATAAAAAATAACAATATTTTTATTATGATTTATCATTAAAATAATTTTTTAAAATATATTTTCTATTAAAAATAAATTTATATTTAACTAATAAATTATATATTGTGATAAAATATAAAATATTATTTTAAATTTAATATTTATAAAATATGTCTAAGATATAAGAAAAATTAGAAATAATAGCATCTTCGGTATTAAAACTTTGAACGAAATTTTATTTTAATCTCTCTATTTACCACATGAGATATTAGATGATGATATGTATGTAACACCGGCTAGCACTTACTATCAATTTAAATAGTTTTATAAACAGAAAGACTAAAATAAAATAACTTTGTACAATTACAGATTTAATTATAACTTTTTAAAGATTAGATAATGAAATAGAATTTGATTCAATGTTTAGGGCCATGAGTGCTATTAACCCAAAAAGTTATAACAAAACAAAATGAAAAAGTAATTATTAAAGAAAAAAATGGACGGTGCATTTTAGCTCTAACATGGGAATGGCCAAATCAAATCCTACTTCGATTGCATTGGATTGCATTGGGCAACAATATTTTTTTTATAAAAATATTGAATAATTATTAAGTAAAGAGGAAATAAATTGAAGGATTTGAAAGAATGGAGAAAATTGGTTTTATTTTTAGCTTTAAATATATAAGTTAGAAGCAGGTAGCTTTGTACATCATATCATGGATCATGCATGGTTTAGGCATGAATGAAGCAAAGGAAAAAGCATATGGAGTTTTAAATGAATTAATGCTACAGTTGTCGTAGACATGTAAGGTTATTTTAGAAGTATGACCCTCCTATTCCTTTGGTTTGGTAAAATATATAGAATTGCAGGATTTATTATTATTAGAAATATGTCCACGCTTTGCTGCAAGTTTAATTTTTTTTCTTATTTGTAAATAATAATGTTTATGAAGGCTAAAACTTAAAAAAAAAAAGAGGGGGGGGGGAGAAGAAAGATATTATGTGTTTAATGAAAATAAATGGGCAAGTGTTGTAAACCAAAAATATAAAGACATTTGGATCATATATAGGCATGATCTAGAAATGTTCACAATCAACTAAAAGACAAAAATTGAATATTAGATATGTAGTTATAAATGGCTATGACTTGAAGCAAAGACTCCATAACACCCTGAAGCCTGCTTTAGGAAATTGCTCATAAAACTAAGGTTAACCTTCTTATGTATAATACTGTAAAATCAAGTTCTGGTCAAATCTCAATATTTACTTGCATTATGGAGCATGCCAAAATAAAGAAGCAGGCTGAGAAAAATATTGCAATTGTAGCTTGATTAGCCTTGAAAAGATGTAAATTTTGATTCTTTATTTTACATCATTATTGTGTATTAATATTTGTACATACTTATATAATACCAAATTTGTCACTGGCAAATAAAGATAGCCCTCTCAAGTTTCGAGCAAAATGATGACAAAAAACAATCAGAAGGGATTGTAACCAAGCAAAATTCCTTAATGGATTCTACCTCAAATGTTTCAACACAAAAATAAAATAGTATTATATCTCTTTTTCTTTCACCTCTATTTAGAACATTTTAAAATATTTTACCACAAACATCATCTAGGGACAATCCATCTAATTATTCATCTAATAGCCTATTTCAATACAAATTATATGTGAATCAAAAGTGGAATTTCCTTGTTAACAACAAGATGCCAAAAATTAAAAGGCTAAGAGCAACAAAAAAAAAAAGTAAAATCTTAAATCAACAATTAAGCATCATTAAAACTATGATGTAACAATCGCAACATCATGAATAAAAATAATCATCAATAGATTTCAATAAGGGTCAACATAGAATCCAGCCCAATAGCAACATTAACAAATATGTTAAAAAATAATCAACATGGAATCCAGTCCAATGCCAATAATAATAAAAAAAGAGCTAAACATGTTTACAATAAGTAAAAGAATAAATTTATAAGAAAGAAAAGAGCGATAAATACCTAAATTTTCTATTCAAGCTACGGTTGATGGCAATTGCAGCCTTTCCTCTACCATATCTTATTGAAGTATTTCTTAACTCTTTTCAAAATTGCAATTGGCACTTGCCTGCCAATAGACTTAACC